AACGCCCTCGAGGCTCAGCGCCCAGCGGTCCGCTCTGTCCGCTCTCGGCTCTGCGGCTGGAGGGCAGCGGGGCCGCAGGACCGCAGAGCCACCGCCGGGACTTGGGGCCCTTCCTGAGTCACAGCCTTCCCTTCCGGCAGAGTTGGAAGAGGGAGCGAAGGTCTCTGCAGGCCGCCGCCTGCGCGCCTCACCTCACTGCGTTGAGGGCTGGCGAAAGAATCTTCTAGGGACGACCGTTCGGGCAGCCGAGCGCTTCACAGCCCTGGGCACAGCGCGGCGGGACGGGGGAGCCACGCGCCGGTCCCCTTTTCCCTCCATTACACACTGGGTGGGCAGCCCGAGGCCTAGGAGCGGATCTCCTTCCCAACCCTGACTGCCCGAGTGTACAACCTCAGCTGTCCCAAGTTCCTCCTGCCACCAATCCCCACGGGAACACAGGGCTAAGAAGCGTTCGCCGGAGGAGACAGGTCCGTGACGACCGAGAAAGGTTGCCAGCTGCGCGTGTTCCTTGGATGTATGATCGTTCTTGCTGACGAAGCAGCACCTCCTGTTTGCCAGACGTGCAGAAGAGCCGCCATCCCTTCTTGTCACTTTTCCTGCCCTGCAAAGTGTTTTGTGTGAGTGAGGGATATCGGGGCTTTAACATAGCCGGGAGGCAACTGCTGGCAACCCAGTCTTGCAAAGAGGCCCACACAAGAGCTGATATCTGAAAGCAGAAAGGAGGTTGACTCCACCCCACCACCCCACCCCAGAGTCCAACAACATGGGGAATCTAAGGAAAAGAGCAGCTTAATAAAACTCCTATGCCAGGTGAGGTGGTGCCTGTCTATAATTCCAGTGCTCAAGAGGCTGAGGCAGGAAGATCTCAAGTTACAACCCAGCCAGAATGACTTAACTTTGTGTGACCCTTCAAAAGGAAAAAGTAAGAAAGGGCTGGGGATGCAGCTGTGCGCAAAGGCCTTGGGTTTAATCCCCAGCAGCCCGCCCACACACACACACACACACACACACACACACACACACAACAAACAAGCAAAAGCCTAGCCCCGCATTTTAGAACTTCCCCATCTGGCATTGCAATGGTGGTGAGCTAAGGTGAGGCTGATTATTTCCTGAGATCTGCATCCTGCCCGTCTCCTTTGGGCTCAGCTGCTCTCAGGTAATGTGACTAAAATGGATGCCACAAAGAAATTGGAAAAGGCTGATGACAATACTAAATAAACAGCAGTGAAGGCTAATAAACAAGTTGCATCTGTAATGTCCTCTCAGATGGAAACAACCCCTGGAGGCATTTGAAATGGGCCCACTCCAGAGGCAGCAGGCACCCCCGGGCTCTTGGTCACTGTGTTCCCTGGAGAAGCCATGCATGGGGGCACATGCCTATCATCCCAGCCCTTGGAAGGCTGAGGCAGGAGCGTGACCACAAGTCTGAGGTCAGCCTCACTCCTTAAGGAGTCCAACAGGGAGACCCTGTCTCATAAATAAATAAATAAAACAAAATCATTTAAAGGATGCTACTCTATGTGATTCAAATCATTAGACATCTTAGATAATAAAAAGGTGATTAAAACCCAATTCTTATTATCCTGGACTTAATCCGGCAGGACAAAACTCACATGGTTATATTACAAATACAGTTATGATAGTTTTGTATATAATGCAGCATGATGTAGTACTGTGATGTGATACAATGTTAGATTATAGTTTATGTCACATATGTGCGTGCTTACAAATATAGGAGCCAAATACGGTATAAAATATTTTTTTAAATGCTCAGGCTGATAGGGAGAAACTGATTTCCAGAGCCAAGGGTGAGACAGGCATTTGGAAGAGGGAGTGTTTTAACTGAGCTTCAGGATATGACTGTTGAAGGGCAGGAAAAAGGCTACTTAGGAAAGGGCATCCTCAATACCTCGGGTGCTCGATGGGTCTTGACCCAGTGAAGACAGCGGCGAGCAGGCCCAGCCTCCTCCCCTGCACAGCGAAGCTGATGTCCTACTCCGGAGAAGCAAAACAAGTGAACCACCAGATTCGTCCACCACCAACCAGTTTATCAAAGCTATAAAGAAGGAGAGACAGAGCCGGCATTGTGCTCCTGCCTCCAATCCCAACACTCTACAGGCTGAGGCAAGAGGATCAGTTCACAAGACCCAGGCCAGCCTGGGCAGTCTCATGGTAAAAAATACTGCAGAGTTGAATTGTGATCAAAACATTTTCTTTGTCTCTAAGCAAAGGTTATTTAAAAAAAAAAAAAAAAAAAAACTCTGAACAATTATAAATTGCCTGTATACATTTATGGGTCTAGAAATCACTTGTTTTGAAAACTTGGCATCAAACCGGGAAATACAAATAAAAAGGAGCACAAAAGTCAATGTTGTGCTAATTGAACTACAGAGTATAGAAACTACTGTGTATGTCAAAGGAGACTCAGTTTGTCAGTGGTGACTCAGCAAGATTCTGTCTCAGAATTGAAAATAATTTTTAGAAAGGGCTGGAAATGTAGTTCAGTATGAAGGCCCTAGGTTTAAACCCCAGTGAAGGGGGAGGGGACAGAGGAAGGAAAGGAAGAGGAAAGAAAAGAAGAGGAGGGGAGAGAGAGAGATACAACGGAAGAGGAAGCAGAGCGAACCACGCAGCCTGAGCTCTCTCTCCCTCCCTCCCCTAGAGGGAGCCACTTGTGCACTTCTTGGATGTGACCTGATGGGACAGATCCCCAGCCGCCTCCCGCTGGGCGCCGAAAACTCCGAGCTCCTGGACAGAACGGAGCCCAGCTTCCCACAAGTCATTACTACTTTGTCACTTTTTTGAATTCGGTTCTCACCAACCAGGGGCAAAATATTTATGGCAAGATAGTCTTGGCTGTTATGAAGCAAATCACATTAAAGCACCTGATATTTCAAGTTCGTGCCCCGATTAGTTCTAATTAGAATTCTCTGTCACTTCTGAACCATAAATGCAGGACACGGTATCAGAAAATCTGCTCTCCTCGTAGGACTTGTGAAAGATAAATCAACTTGAGAAATTTCTAGTCGTTCCCAGACATCTATTTTTTAAATACCAGAAAAAATGTGGACATATTTTAAATTATTTGTAGGCCAATGGAATCTGGAAATTTTAAAACTATGCTTTAGAACCTAGGGATTCATATACACAATCTTAAATTACCTTCATAAGTTGGATTCCTCGCCTCCAGTCACTAACAAACCAAGTCTCCTTCAACATACTCAATAGTTTCTTTACTCTCTCGTTCATTTAGCACAACATTGACTTTTGTGCTCCTTTTTATTTATATTTCCCGACTTGATGCCAAGTTTTCAAAGTAAGTGGTTTCTAGACCCACATATGTATGCAATTTGTAATTGTGGAGAGTGTTTTTTTTTTAAAGATAACCTTTGCTGAGAGACAAAGAATATGCTTTGTTCACAACTCAAATTTCAATACTTTTTACTATGAGACGGTCCTTGATTCGTATATTCCTTTCAACATTTTAAACCAGACTCCTTGATAGCTTCTCAAAAACTGGCACTTGGCAATGTGTTACTTGCCAACCGTGAGTGAAGAAACATGGTTATTTTTATCACTTTAGAAAGTGTTTCTAGGGATCAAACAGTGAATGACAAATATTAGATTTTATCACAAAATGAAGTTTATATTTTCAGTGGCAAAATTATATTAACATGACAGCGGGGGTCTAGATTCTCCCGGAAGTGGTGGGAAAACTGCCAACCCACTGAAGAGAGAGACAGACCTTAATACCAAAAGTGACAATAATTCAACACTGTTTTACTCATATACATTGTAATCTGAACTATGAGTTTTGGCAAGTCTACACCTCTTGTGCTCATGAACATTAAACCTAGGGAACTGATGATTTTATTTTACTTTATTGTAGTAAGAAAACTCAACATGAGGCTGACCCTCTTAGCAGATCACATGTGCGTTAGACCATCATTCTCTATTGGCACAACATTGTACAAGGGCTCTTTACAATTCATTCATCACGCATAACTGAAGTTTTATACCTGTCCATTAGTAACCCTCCTTTCACCTGTCCCCAGTCCCTGGCAACTAAATGAGGCTTTAGGCAGATATCTAGATACAAGCAACACAACAATATTTTTTTTCTCACACCTTGAATAGACCCTCAGGAAACAGGACTCCAGAGCTGCTACAGAAACTGACAAGGATGATAGGATGAGTGTGTTCAAAATGGGGGTGGGATAAAGAAGGATTAAGGGCATTGCATGTTTTGCTGTAATCGTTTTTTAAATGTAAACCTTCACTGTATATTTTTATCACATCTCATGTGCTAGGTACCTCACATTTGAAAGAGGTAGGATCATTTATTCACAGCATTTGCTAATAATGTTATGTGCACGCTACACAAAGCTCTTTTGGTTTCATCGTGTCCCCTTACCTCCCAGCAGCTATGAAGTGTGCAAATTATTGGGAATGAAGTCAAATGACAGTGCCAGCTCAAGGCCCCATGAGCGACAGCTTGGACCATACTGCAGTGCTTTCTGGGGAGCCTAAGGTATTTACCCTGCTTACGTCAGATATGGAGAGCCTGGGCAAGATCTGAGGAGGGAGGGCTGCAATGAGCTGACTGTTTTAGGAGCAATTCCACTGAAACATGGAGGATAGAATAGGAGATCGTTACCCAGTCCGGCAGACCAATATGAAGTCAATCCAAGGTGAATAAGCAAAGAACAAGAGAAAGGTGCACAACATCAAAATGACATTGTCCCTTCAGGGCGCAGATTGTCAGCATGTGTCTCCAGTACATGAAACTGCTTATTAAAGCACAGTGGTGCTTACCTGTGATCCCAGCACTCTAAGAGACTGAGGCAAGCAGATTGTAAGCTTGAGTTCTGACTGGGCAAATTAGCAAGGCCCTGTCTGTGAATAAAAAACTAAATAATGCTAGGGATACATCTCAGTGTGAAGACCTGGCATTCAACCCCCAAGTAGCACCCAAAAGAAAATCACTGAAAAAATGTTTTATATACAATATGATTATAACTATACCTTAAATAATAAAATCTATACTATAACAGAATAGGAAATATTTACATAAAGGTTGTTTCTGTCTGATGATCAGACTAAAGCTAATTTTTATTCTTCTTTCTATATTCTCTTAAAGCACAAACTTTCTTTAATATATTATTGTTTATAATTAAAGATGCAGTAGTGCTCCAGAATTTGTCACTGAGGACTGTAGGGGCACAGCAAGTAGCCACAAACACATTATCAAGAAGCAATTGATATTAACAAGTACTAGCTTGCATGTTGAGTACCAAAAAATGACAAGTACCAGGACAAAATTTTCACACCAAAATGCATCCAACACCAAACTGGTTAAGTTCCAAGGCAGCTGAGTATGAAGGTACAATGGGACAACCTTTTAAAGGTCTCTTGCAGCTGTCCAAACACCTGTTCTGCAAATTCAGGTGTCCAGATGCCCGGTGGTGGTGTGTATCCAGCCAAAAGCAGCGCTTGGAACATGCCAACAAACCCTCTCAGATCCATGCACACTAGCTGGCCCCAGGAGCTTTCTGAGCTTTATTAATTCTCGTGACTGTCGGAGGTCGTAGAGGTTGCTCCATTTCTGACATTCATTTGTATTTTCCCTACTCCTTGATGTTGGTCATAAGCCTCCATTGAGGATCTACTTAAAATATCATTAAACATTATTCAGCCCTTCTTTGTCATCATTAAAGTACACATTAAGCCAGCCAGGAGTTCTCAACCACCCCAGGGGACTTGGGACAAAATGCCAAGTGTGAACATTTATCACTTCAGTTTGCTTTCTTCCAAGGGTATTTCTAATACATGTGTTGATTTTTCATCTTCATAGAATTTGAACTAATTTTAAAACTAAATTATCAGGATGCCCTAGGTGAGCCAATTATCTAAGGCCAGCTTCTGAGTGACACCATCATCTTTCCGTCCCCTCGTGGTGTGTGATTCTACTTAGAAGCCAGCTTCGACTGCTGGGATTCATTCAGCCCCACACTGTTTGATAGGTAGGAAGCCAATTTTATTGATGGCTTTGATTTTCTCTTCTAATACTTCATTTATTCATGATTTTAAATTCAAGCATATCATATAATTTCCCACCTTTGCCACTCTGATTTTTAAATGTATGCTTTTTATTTGAAGCAGGTGGAGATTTTCTTCTATATTGTAGTCACTTCGCTTGTTAATTTTTTCCTTGCCAGCTACACATTTTGCCAGGAATCAGTAGGTACATGTAATATAAAAAGTCTCTGTTAATAGCTTGGGATCCAACCCAGAGTTTCTGGGCTTCTAATCTCATCAGATTCTCTGGTGGGAAGTTGTGACTCTCTATTTTGTGGAAAGTGCATTGGAGAGAAAAAAGAAACTCTCTGCCCAGCTCTAGATACCAAGCATGATTCTCGCTGTTGACAATAAAAGCTGATGATGTCCAGTAGGTAACAAAATGTTGGAAACGATAAAACTTAGGTTCTGGCTTTTGATCTAAGTTCAAATCCCAGCTCCACAATCTACAAGGCTGCGTGATTCTGGTCATGCAACTTAAGCTTTCGAGTATCTGCTCCTATCTCTAGAAAGTGCAGATAATAATATCTGACTTACAGAACTATCAAAGAATCACAAAATAATATATGAAGAGTGCCAGAAACATAATGGGAAGTTTAACGTCCCTCCAGCCTAATAAGATGTCACTGGGCAGCAGATGTTCCGACTGGTTCCCACTGACCATGATTCTATCAGCCACGGTAACACCCTCCGGTGATTAAGGCTCTGCAAGGTGACCCCAACAGCAAGAACAATCAGCAGAGATGATCACACTAAGAGACAGCCTGCAGGGGCACAATTTCAAAAATGTACTTATTGCCACTGGCAGTTCTCCATGGCCTCTTCATCTACCTCCTGGGTTACATAGCACAGGGGCCTCCTTAGTTCTGTCTTCTTGGAGGACTGGAGATACCCTGGTCTTGCTACAAGCTTCTACCAAAGACTCATGCCTTTGCAGGCTAATGCATTATGGAAATATTTTCTTTCTCTTCCTTTTCACTTCTTTTCTTTCCATTCCTTCCCATCCCTGCTTGATCATTTATTTATAATTTTATAGATTTGTTTTTTAACATATATTAATTATAAAGCACAATGGGTTCAGCATGACATTTTCAAGTATTCATATAACATTCTTTGATCGTGCCACCCTTCCCTTGTTCTCATTTTTCTAGTAACTGAGCTCCATCATTAGTTTACTTATTTAAATTCTATCTCATTTTTAAATGCTTGCATTCATACCTCTAAATACCCCTGTTAGAATTGTCTTCACTGTATTCCAAATTCTGGTGTGTTGTGTTTCTGTTTTCATTTGATTCTAGGAATTTTTAAACTTCCTCCCTGATTTATTCAATGACCTATGATCATTTCGTAGTGTATTATTCAATCTCAATGAGTTTGTATGTTTTATGTAGTTTCTGGTGCTACTGATTTCCAGCTTCATTCCATTATGATCTGATAAGGGCCAATAAATAATTTTAATTTTTTATTTGTCTGCATTATGGCCTAAAATGTGAAGTTTTGGGGTAAAATTCCATTACCTATTAAAAAGAATGTGTATTCTGCAGCTGTTGGATAGGATATTCTGTAGATCTCTGTTAAATCCATTTGATCTTTGGTGTAGTTTAACTTTGATGTCTCTTTGTTGATTTCTCTTTTGTCTAGATGACCTAAGCATTGGTGAAGGATTCTGAGGTCACCTGTTATTATTATATAGGTGCCTATCTGTCCCCTGTGTTTAGTAGTGTTTGTTTTATGAAACAAGGTGCACTATCAGTAAGGAAATCTCAACGCACCTCCAGTTCCCTCCAGTTCCTCCTCCAGTTCCCATGGTTCCCTGATGTTAATTCCATGTCAAAATCCCTCTGCCCAAGTGGCCTCTCCTGGGTCTACTCCCTCCTCCTGGAGGTGCCTTAGATATCCAGTACATGTAAACCTCTGAGGGCTTGACAAGTGCTAAGTCTTTTCAGTTGGACTCTGAGCCCTTTGCTCTCCTCAGGGCACCAATAGCTGTGAGAAAATTAAACTACCATTAATTAGACCTTTGATAAATGCCAGCAAGTAAAAGACTTGTCTTATGTGGCACAAATACTTGGGGATATAGATGAGAAAGATGAATAGTTTCTGTCTTAGCCACTCTCTAACCATCCCAAACACATATAATAATCTACTTCCAGAGAAGTTCTGCAATGAAGAGGTCATTGTCTCTCTGCTTCCTGGCTGGAGCTATGACCACACTCTCTGATCCATCCTTCTGCTGTGATGTGCTGCCTTCACCAGAGGTCCAAACAAATGCGGACTTCAGATCTTGGACTTAACCATCCTGAACCATGAGCCAAAACAAATCCTCTGTACTTCATAAAGAGCTTGTATTAGGTATTTTACTAAAATGATGGAAAGCTGAACAATACTGTGTTTCTTTTTAAAGACTGCTAAAAGCAAGTCACCAGCTCTCAGCAAAGATTCCTAAACTTAAAATACTAACAATACTAAAATTTCTGGTGCCCAAGATGAAGTCCTATGTGGTTGTCATCTTGAGAACCCTCAATAAATACTGCAGAAAGTAATTATTATTAAGGACAAGACCGTGCTTGATGTAAGATGGTACTATACTTGCAAGCTAGCAAGATTTACACATATGATATATGCATATATGTGCACATACATATTAGAGAGAGCTTTTACAACTCTGAAATACATAAAAGTCCACTCATGGGAAAAGAGGTGAAGTCTCTAACTTGGAACATGGGCAATTTTCTCTGAGGTAGATGAAAATACATCTTTACCCTTTATCTCTTTGTTGCCCTTAGAATGGGAACAAATGGATCCAAATAAAAGGAGACTTGCTCTCTTTTTCTCATGAGTCAGTTTCCATTGCTCAGGTGGTTTTTCTGCTGATCAAACAGAAACATCAAAAAAAAAAAATCAGGGACAGGACCAGGGATTTAGCTCAGTAGTTCCGCCGCCTGCTTTGCAAGCACAAGGACCCGAGTTCAATCCCTGGTACCAAAAAAAAAGCAAACAAACAAAAAATCAGGGACAATGGTGTTCCACCTTAAATTAGCCAAAAAAGGAATTACAACCCCAAGAACGTCTTTGGATCGGGTGATATAACGTCATCTGCTCACCTTTTCCAGCCTAAAAAATTATGAATTTATTGATGCAGAGGAGTCCTCCTTCCATATGATCTTCAGGACAAGTCCCCTTCTGTTGTTTCTCCACAAAGGAAGAGGAGGGGGCAGGGAACTTCCTCCATGTGCACCTTTTAGAGTAGCAGTGCCCAACTTTTCTGGCACCAGGTACTCATTTTTCCATGGATTGTAGGGGGATGGTGTCCGGGAAGATTCAAAGAAGTGGCAACCAAGACCCCTCATATGCGCAGTTCACAGTAGGTTTGTGTTCCTATGAGAATCTCATGCCCCTCTGATCTGACAGGAGGCAGAGTTCAAGTGGTGATGCAGCTGCAAACATGGAGGAAGCTAAGCTAGTCAGCTACTCATCCACTGCTGTGTTGGATGTGGTTCCTAACAGGTCATGGACTGGTACCATGTGGTAGTTCCAGGGCCTAGGGACCCCTCCTCTAGAACTTGGGGCTGTCCCTTGCCTCACCGGATTGCTGAGATGGAAGGAAACTCAGCCTGGTTCCAGTAGTCAGCCACGCTAGTCCTCAACATCAAACCCCCTTTGATCCCTGTTCCAGCACAGCCTGACTTGCCTGTAACAAAGCCAACCTCAGTATTTATGGTAAATCATGATTCCATAGTCACCATCTTATTCGTTACTCATAACACTCCTATGAAACTGGTAGATCAGGGGCTACAATCATCCCTCTTCCATAGATTAAAAACAAAATGTGGCTCCAAAAAATATGACAGGCCACACAGGTGAATAGGATTCAAGTCCTCTTCCCATGTGCAGATTCTGGGAGTTTTATGCTGACATAACCCTGCCTTCTCATACAACTAAGCCTGATACAACCAAAATTTATTAAAGTCTGGTAAACAACTGTGGCTTCTTCTTGTTCCTTTCAAATCATTAAATAACAAATATGATTATTTTCCAATGCACTGACTTGTTATTTATTGGTGTTGGGCTATTTTTTGAAGAATTTTAAACTTAAATTATACAATAACTTTGGTATTATGAGGGCCTCAGCATTTTACCTTGTCATAGAAATAAAAACACTAAGTTATACTTTTATCTTTTTGCTTAATCAAAAATTAGTCAACTAATTAATAACAGGAAGTGTTATGCAAGCATATGCCTTACGCCTTAAATATATGTGATTTTATTTGTCAGTTATACCCAATAAAAAGGGAAAACACTTTTAAAAGAATAGAGAAGGGGGCTGGGGATGTAGCTCAGTGGTTCCACTGCCTGCCTTGCAAGCACAAAGTTCCAAGTTCAACGCCCGGTACCAAAAAGAAAAGAATAGAGAAGAGTATTCCTATTTTTTTCCCATACAAGGGCAAATTCAAAGCTATTTCTACACACATCGAAATAAGTCAACCTTAATTTCTGAGATTCAGAAACATCCTCTTCTTTTTCTGAAATAAAAAAGTTGCCTTGCATAGATTATTTTCTTCTTTATTTAAAACCTAATTTTTACTCCTTGGGCACAGAATTTCATGCATATATAGTAAGGTATTTCATGCAAAAAGCTGCAGTGTGTAAGTGTTGTAAATTTATCTATAAGCTGTGATTGTGCACGTAGGAAATGCTCTTTCTGCATGTCAATTAGCCTCAGAATGGTCCAGTTCCAAACACGCAATTTAATGAAATGGTAATGATTTCATTAATGTTTCAAGCCATGTCTAATTCCTTCCGAGGAACATAAGACAATTTACATTCACTCTGAATGCGTAATAATAGTCGAATTGGCAATAGATTGAATGGGCTCTCTTCAATCAGAGTCCTGATATAGACATTGTTGCAAAATCATTAGAAATTGTTGTGAAGTAGTATGAATTGAGGTATAATATTGAAATGGGATAAATTTTTTTCTGGTTATAATTATACATGAGGTAAATAATTAAGCCAAAATTCAAGAATTTATTCATCAAATGTTTTGTATTCTGAATTGCCTATCTGATTCTTAAAAGGTCAAAGAACTCTCTCGATAGCTGGCTGTAGACTGTCCCGTGGGCACGTCTCTGGCAGATGCTGGAGAGAGGAAATAGAACCACAGTCAGGGTCAGAGAGCAAATCAGCATTATGCGGGGCCGTGAAATCAAGAGGGGGTGGTGAGTTGGCAGAGCAGCCCACAAGTCCCAAGGACACGGTCTCATTTTTACCTCACCACCATCTGTTATGGAGCGAATTTTTGTCCCCCCCAAACTCGCTCAGCTAATCTCTAACATGGTGGTATTGGAGGTGGACATCTGGGATTGGTTAGTTCCTGAAAATGGAATCCTTCGGAGAGGGGGCAGAGAGCTCTCAAGTGGCCTTCCTGACACTGAGAAGTTGAGAAATCTGCAGTCTGCAACCCAGAGGACGCCCTCAGCGGAACCTGTTGGAGCGGAAATATTGGTCGCAGACTTCTGGCCAACAGAATCATGAACGGTAAATTCCTGCTGTTTACAGTATTTAGTTGCAGCCTCCTGAACTATAAGTCCTATGTATCCCTACCATTATCTCACTTTCTTACAGATAAGAAAATCAAGGCTCAGAAGGGAATCTGTCTCAGTCACACAGCCACCACGGTGGAGTCGGAAGGCGACCTCCACCTTGCGGAACTCTCCAGCCACGTCCCGCGTTTCACTCTCCGCGTCACCAGAGATGTCACTGAGGAAGAAGGGTCTCCAGAGGCAGAGCGGACTAGTGGTTTTAAATGTCCCAAGTGGCTGACAGTACTGAGTGCAGGACTTGATCTGAGCGTTATGAAGTTATCAATAACATTCCCTAACTACTCAGCCATAAGGAATGAGAAGCTACAGACATTTATAGCTAAAGGGATGCACACTGAGGCCATACTCTTGAGTGAAATACACAGGGCCCACACATGTAAATACTGAGTAGTTTCTCTGGTGTGAGACACTGAAAGTGTGAATAAGAATCAAAAGGCATAATAGATAATGTGAAATAGGAAGAAAAGGTCCAAAGGGGAAGGGGAAGTGGGAGGGGTAGGGAAAAGGAAAGAAGGGAAAGGAATAAATATGAAAAAATGGAAACAAAGTCTTTGTAAATAGGGAGAGGTGGAGGGGTGGAAGGGTGGGCAGGGAAATGGGGAAAAAATAAGAACTAAAATAGATTATGTACAGGTGCAAATTTCCACTGATGAATGTCATTATAATACATACTTAAAATATACCAATAAAATTAATTTTTTACAAAAGAATAAAAAGATAGTTTCTAACAAAACGGTCAGATATATATAGATATATATGCCATCCTCCAAAAATTAAACAAATAACATTTCCTACAGTAAGCGCATAGCATTCATGAGAAAGGAAGTGATATGGCACACAATCTGTGAGAAATAGCGGAAGCCGAGCGCTCGAGCCATTCTTTCCAGCACTGTGTTGGTGACAGGCTTCCAGCCTGACGTGGTGGTCCACACTTGTAATCCAGCACCCTGGGAGGCTTCGGCAGGAGAACTACAAGTTCAAGCCCAGCCTGGGCAATTTATACAGTGAGACCCGGTCTAAAATTACAAAGGGCTGGGGATGCAGCTCAGTGCGAAGGCCCTGGGTTCAGTCTCCAGTACTGGGGGGTGGAGGGGGGCACCACTTGCTTTAAAATGGGAGTGAAGGAAGGAGAAGATGAAAGCAAGAGCAGAGATCGTGGATGGGAGAGCCCAGAGGAGGGGCAGAGGCTCTGAGGATAAGAGGTGTGAGCAGGAAAACAAAGCAAAGCAAGACATCAAGAGAGGCGAGTGGAGGGGAAACATCAAGGGCTGCTTCTCTGGGAGCGAAAGAGGCGGGCAGGGAACAAGCACAGAAAGTAGGATTCATCTGTGTTGACTTTGAGTCCTCAGAGGCAGGAGATGTGAAGTGCCTGTGTGGGTAAAGTGACTGCCAGATGTGTCTCTTTTATCCCGAGACCTCCACAGCAAAACCTGGGCTCATGGGTTGGGGACAGAGCACGACAAGCCTGCTGCCACTTGCTGCAAGAGTGGAGAAAGAAGAACTGAAAGATTTTCACAGATCAGACCAACCACCACCTCCCCAGCACTGATGCTGCCCCAGGCACTGTGCAAGGAGCAGGCATTGTCCGGAGATGTGATCAGTTTAATGTTTTAAATGCTTTACTGTTAAGTTTTTATTTATTTGTACTTTTGCACATGTACATAATTATATGTATATATGTGTGCTTTTCTAATTGGTCTGTTTTCTCTTCCATTTTTGTTTGATTTGCCACCTTTCCTTTCCACCTACATTAACCTCCCAACACCCCGAGCACTGCAGCCCATTTTAACAAGATAGGTGTCCTCACGTACACCCACGTTATTCTATTTCGGTGTTATGTCCATTCTGCCCGACTTTGTATGTGCACATATACGAACCACTATGCACATGTAAGGCCTTTCAATTGGTTTGATTTACCCAGATGGAACCCATTTGTTTTGATTTCTATCTGGATGCC